TATGAGTCCCCAATAAAATGATTTTAAAACAAAACAAAACCAAAAAAATGTGCTGAAAAAACTTAAGTGGAGAGCAAATGTTTTGAGAATGATGAGGGCAATGAATGTATAAATGTGCTTGACACAATGGATGTATGTATGGACTGTGATAAGAGTTGCACGAGCTCCCAATTAAAAAAAAAAATCCATTTAAACATAAAAAAAGAGTTTGAGTCTATAACCCTGAAGAAATGGCCACTCTCACCCATTTCTAGTCTGCATCCCTGCCTCCTTTGGTATTTTTTCTACAGCTCAGTCCCCTTTGTGCTTTTTAGGTAAGCGTTAATGGCCTGATAACCTAACAACTCACAGGTGAATCTGCTGAACCAAAATGCAGTCATGTCAGATCAAATGAGACTTTTTGTTACCTTCTCTAGTGACAGAATCTCCGTCTTCTGATAAAACTCTCCGTTCTGCGAGAGAAACGCCACCACTTGCAGCAGAGCCTCCGGAGTGCAACTGAGACTGACACGCGTGCATTCTTCATCATGAGTCCTGCGGGGGAAGGAGCGGAATTCCACCCTGGTTTATGACAAATGCAAACAAACTGTCCTACATAACCCAGAGCGTACACATTCGCTATGATAGGACACGAGGCATCCATATATGGAGCTAGGGATTTAACTAACAAAATCTATTCATTCCCAAGCCGATCTGGTTCCTAGAATCCCGGCTCTCCAATGTTAGTGTGCGTCAGGGTCACCTGGAGGAATTACTGCAGCACAGGCGGCTGGGCTCCCCTGCCCAGGTACTGATTCACTCAGCTGGGGTGGGGTTCAAGGAGATGCTCGCAAGTTCCATGTGACATTCATGCCACTGGCCCAATGTGCTAAACCAGCTCTTAGTCCTGGCTGGCTGTCAGAAACCTTGTGATAGTTGTTTTGAATGACAGATGTTGGACCCTCCCCTCTACGTGTCTGTTTGTTGAACTGTGGCGGCTTGCATACTGCCATGATGCTGGAAGCTACGTGACTGGGACTTCAAATCCAAGTAGTGTCACCCTCAGTTAACAGGCACCAGAGAAGCTACCTCACGTAGGAAAGCCTGGAGGAGGCCTTGGCTGTCCTGTGGAGGGATTTGCCACCAAATACTTTGAGTTTCAGTGGCACCTCCTCATCCTTCCACTGGCATTGGGTTGATTCCACCTCACAGAGGCCTGCAGGACAGGGCAGAACTGCCCCTATGAGTTTTCAAGGCTGCCAGTTTTCACAGGAACAGAAAGCTTCATCGTTCTCCCTTAGAGCAGCTGGTGGGTTCAAACCGCTGACCTTGTGGTGAGTGGATCAATGGGCAGCCCCCACACCACCAATGCTCCTTATGTCACCCCTGAGATCAGGAAATCAGATTTGATTTACTTAACTCTGTAAAAGCACCAATTAAGCAAACCGCAGTTACAATTTCTTAACTCTCCCCAGATGGAATTTCATTCACTGACCTCTTCACTCCACTCGTGTTGCCTCGGGAATTCCTAAAGGAATAAACTGGAGGATGGAAAGGGGAAAGGTGGGCTGAGCGATGGCCGGACAACGGCTTAATCAGCTTTGAGAAAATGTCTCGTGACACGACCCTCAGGAGGGAAGTGATGCTGAAAAGTTTGAGATTCTAGTTTAACAAACCCTTGTTAGCTTTTGGTCACGCTTCGTCCTCCCCCTGCGCAGCACAATTTGGAACATATTTTGCAGCCTTTCCCTGGGCATACTTTGTGGCTCCACATTTTGTGCAGTGTTTTGTTTTAATTTCTAGTAGAGTGTAAGTCTGGTGTGTTTTCACTAAGACGGTCTGAAAAGACATCCACTTCTCTGAAAACAAAAGGGAAGCCAAACTGAGTTGGCTTGTGCTTAGGATACTAACATTGAATAAAAAGGATGAGAGATTTTTAATTGGTTGAACATGATAATTTTTCATGTATTGATTCTTAAATTTCCTAAAATGATTCCGGCATATTTACTAATTTTATTAAAAGAACTCTATACTCAAAAAACTACTCAGATAATTTTGGGGTGTAGCAAATATAAATCTCAATTATATTAAAAACTCCTACTTCTCTTTTTTTTTCTTTTAAAAATATTTTAGCAGTTTTATTGGCCTGTAATGCACATACAATTCAACAGTTCAATCATATTAAAAAGAGTTGGGCCATCATTACCATAATCAATTTTAGAACATATTCTTCCTTGTTCCCTAAGTTTGGGGGACTATCCATTTTTCCAAGTGATATTTATCCTAGTACCTTTCTTTTTTCTTTTAATCATTTTATTGGGGCTCATACAACTCTTATCACAATCCATACAGACATCAATTGTGTTAAGCACACTTATACATTCGTTGCCCTCATCATTCTAAAAATTTGCTTTCCGCTTGGGTTCCTGGAATCAGCTCATTTTCCTTTTTCCCCTCCCTCCCCGTTCCCCCCTCCCTCATGAACCCTTAATAATTTATAAATTATTATTTTATCTTATCTTACACTGCCCAGTGTTTCTCTTTACCCATTTTTCTGTTGCCCATCCCCCAGGGAGGAGGTTATAGGTAGATCCTTGTGATCAGTTCCCCCTTCCTACCTCCACTTCCCTCCCGGTATCACCACTCTCATCACTGGTCCTGAGGAGTCCATCTGTCCTGGATTCCCTGTGTTTCCAGTTCCCATCTGTACCGCTGTGCATCCTCTGGTCTAGCCAGGTTTGCAAGGTAGAATTGGGGTCATGATGATTGGGAGGAGGAAGCGTTTAAGAACTAGAGGAAGGTTGTGAGTTTCATTATTGCTACACTGAACCCTGAGTGACTCATCTCCTCCCCACTACCCCTGTGCAAGGGATGCCCAGTTGTCTACAGATGGGCATTGGGTCCCATCACGCGCTCCCCTTGTTCACAATGATATGATTCCTCCCCCCACCTTTGGTGCTTGAAACCTGGTCCCCTCGGTCCTTCATGATCACACGTTAGTGTGCTGCTTCCATGTGGGCTTTGTTGCTTCTGAGCTAGATGGCCGCTTGTTTACTTTCAAGCCTTTAAGACCCCAGACGCTATTATCTCTTGATAGCTGGGTTCTCTCTCTTTTTTAAAAACAGTTAAGTCCTAGCTTTGTATAGCTTGGCCTTTATGATGCTTAAGTCTTACATAAATTAGCCTGAAACATTTTTGGTATGTGTCCTAAATGACTTTTAAAGAATTTGGTAATCCTTGGTTATATGAATGGATTTTGAGCTCACTCAGAACTGTAAGCCCTACTCTAATAATAATTAGGTCTTAAGATATGACCCTGCTGAGTATTTGCCCTCAGGATGAGTCTCTAAAGATACGCCTTTGAAAAGCCAAGTGTGGCAAGGGACTCAGATGGTGCCTGGCTATCAGAAAGAACAGCGCCTGGGGTCTTAAAGTAAGTAGCCTTCTAAATGAGGTGGCAGCTAAATCCACACAGATGGAGCACACCAGCCCATGTGATCCAAGGACTCTAAATAAAACCCAAAGCAAATAATATGCCAATAAAAAAAAAAATACAATGCAAAGCCAGAGGAGGGATTTGTATTAGAATTTAAATTCTGAGTCCTGGGTTTGCAGAAGGCTATGGATAACAGGGAAAGCCCCAAACCCACCGGAAGAGTCCCCACATGGATGAAAGTTCCGCCAATCTCCCTCAGACCAGGATGTGATGTCTTGTCCTCAGACCAAGGGCACGGGAAAGTAAGGAATGTAGAGATAATTAGGCTAAAATTCAACATCTTACTCTGTGTCTTCCTCTTTGACCCATTTATAACTTATTTTAGTTTTTATTACTTTCTGCTTTCTTTTGGATTGAGGTTTTTGTTTTGTTAGGGTTTTTAAAATATTATTTTCTTCATAGATTTACGTACCCTAGATTTCATGTTGAGGCAAGGACTGGACTCCTTAGAATTATGACAGGGGAGATTAGGGGGAAATGGGTAGCTAATAAGTAATGGAGGCAAGAATAAAGAAAATGGTGTTCTAAAATTGATTGTGTTGACTACTGCATACTCTTTGTAATAGATTTCAACCAACCACTGAATTGTATCGTATGAGAATTTTATCCATATAATGGTTAAATTTTAAAAAAAAAGTATTTATAACACTATTTATGTAAGTGTTATTCATATTAGTGAAAATTAGAAAAATTAAACATAATAATAAGAGATTAGGTTAAGTACTTTGTGCTCTATGATGTTTCTAAGTTGGAATATTATAAATTCACTCCATCCAGTCAATCTGCCTCACAATGACCCTTCAAGGCAGAGTAGAACTGCCCCTATGGGTTTCAGAAAGCCTCATCTTTTTTCTGAAGAGCCACTTGTGGTTTCAAACTTATGACCATGTGACAGTTCCAACCTCCTGACCTTATAGTAGTCGAAAGCATAACCCACTATGCTACCAGTAAACATCCATAAAATAATGGTACTCATGAAGCTGTTTATCTAGGGAATTATTAGAATATAAAATTATGAAAATATAGGTTTCATGACTAGGTACATTATGATTCAAATTATGTAAAATGATAAAATATATGCATAGAATAAAACACCAGAAGGCAACACATCGAAGTGTTAAAGTGTGCTTGGCAATCATTGATTTGATGGGAACTGATAAGTCTAATGGTATCAGTACATGCCCAGGGTCTGTTTCTACTCTTGACAATCATTGATTTGATGGGAACTGATAAGTCTAATGGTATCAGTACATCCCCAGGGTCTGTTTCTACTCTTGACAATCATTGATTTGATGGGAACTGATAAGTCTAATGGTATCAGTACATCCCCAGGGTCTGTTTCTATTCGATAAAGTAAAACCTTCAACATCACTGAGTGTGAGAAATACTCTGTGTAAATAGATAGTTCCTCCCATATAAAAAGTACTCAGTAAACGCGACTTGTCATTTTTGTCATTTTCAAAGATTCCATACTTCTCCATTAGAACCCATGTGCACATGACAAGTACATTTTGCTCGAAACCTCAATAGCAGGGTTAGAGAGTTTGAAAGAAGCCTTACAAAGAGAAGAATATACTGTACCTAGCAGCAAAAGTAGCGACAGAAACACCTGCAATTGCTTCCACCGCAGACACGACCTTGTCCAGGTCTTGGCTAGGGCTAACACTGAATTCTATTCTGTGTGTTCCCTCTGTGGGGCACTTGGCAGCTCTGGAAGGCAGTATGGGGCGGGAGGTACACTTTCCTAGAAGAAAAAATGTGGGAATGTTATTTATTTTGCATTTTATTTGCTTTTATTTTCAAGATAAGGAAACAATTTTGGGAAAAATTTATGATACTACTTTCAGGTTTCCTTTTTTTGGGGGGTGGGGTGGGTTTCTTCATATTCTTATGTAATATATACATACTTATATGAACATCTACCAATAGTCCCCAATCTGAGGATTTTGTGTGGATAAACAAAATCAAATGCATTTTCAGAATATTCCAGAAGGTTCTAAATATCAAAAACACGTGAACAAGAAAGACCGAATCATGGAGCTTGAAAACGGTACACAGAATTGTCTATGCTTGGTAACTCTACTCCTGCCAACCACAATTCAGGCTGCAAACTCTCCTATTCTGTTTGGCTGCACAAGTCCAGGTGTCATCATAAAAGCTTCTGCCAAAAATGAGTGAGTAACGGACTTATTAAAGTCAAGCTAGAGCACAAATGCCGAATCTCCTCATGTTGCTGGGCCTAAGGAAGCATCCAACAAAGCCTATCTACTTGACGGTTACCTGATGTACCATACGCCAACAGCCTGAACTGTGGTACAATCCAACGAGCATTAGCGAGTGCCTCAGGTGCAGGCACACGGATGAGGGATTAAGAAGCTATGCCCAGCAATCAAGACACCATGCTTTCTCCATCCACTAAAGAAAGCACTTTCACTTTTCAAGTGCAATGTAATTGCCAGACTTCTGCAACATTACTTTTTAGGCCCATTTTTAAAACAGGATAATGTTCTCCCATCCCTAAAGTAATGAAAACTTTACTATAAAGGCATTCTAAATGTCAAAGTATGGCTAAGTACAAAGGAATAAGTGGCATCTTACCCAGTCCTTTAGCCAGCCAGCTGTTGACGCCCTGCGGGGCAGCATCATAGGCTGTGTGAGGAGAGTAGATGGCCACTCTCTTCTCCAGAGCCTGGATCACCAGGCGCTCTGCCCAGGTGGCCCAGGTGATGCGCTTCATGGGTTGGAAGATGGGAGGATGATAGGAAAGAATGAGATCTGCCTTCTTTTGCAGCGCCTCTTCCATTACTTCCTCGGTCAAGTCATTGGTCAGGAAGAGTGTATTGACAGTATGTGGTGGACTTGGCTCTACCAGTAAGCCAACGTTGTCCCAACTCTCCGCATATGAGAGGGATGCAAAGTCATTCAGAGAGGAAATGAGAGTTTTTAAATCCATGAAGGAACGGAAACAACTGCCAACCGAGGAGCGGACGTGCTGGACCTTTCTGGTGATCAGCTGTACGCCAGATGACAACATACAGAAAACTTGTCTAGCGGAGAATCTGAAGTGACAAAGACAGAAAATGGCACACCAGACAAAGGCCTTTGTGGCGCAAAACCTACGAGTTACAGAGCTGCAGTCATGAGAGGGTCATAAACCAGTGATGTGGGCTGGTCTGAGCTCAAGGGGAGACCAGAACTAGGGTATGGCAGCAGGAGTCTTCCTATGCCAACTAAGTGCTGACAGGCTGAGGCGTGGCTGCCTGTTGTGGACCGATGGCGGTATGCTCAGTGCTGTCAGATCGTGGCCTGTGGTACCTGGTCCAGAGCCCTGATGGGCCCCTCTAACTGTGAGCCTTGGCTGAGCTGTGTGGCCAAGGCTGCAATGGCTCCCTCAGAACACAGCCAGTTTGCTAACATTTGACAGGTAGTTGACATATTGTATATGCGTCACTGGGCTTCTATAGTTCTCCCATCTATGTGAACCTCTCACCCATTACTGGGATGGGGAAAAACAAACAAAAAACCGTTGAATCAACAGTTTTGTATAAACTGTGTAATCCAGAAAGCACTCAGATACAGTTCTGGCTACTGTGAGGATGTCTTCCAGGGACAGTCTCTAACAGTCAGTGGTCTGTCCCTCCGATTGGTCTCAGTCACTCCAGGGTAAGCACTCCACCTTTGGAGGAACAAGAACTGGCTTAAACTACTGGCTCTGCCAATTACCAGCAAGTTGTTACACTTCTGAGTGTTTTCACTCAGTCTTCCTCACAGGCCACCGGAGAACTAATACATGTTAAGTCACCCAGCACAAGCCTGGTACAGAATATGCAAATGTTTCGCGCCCCACCCCTACATACACACCCCTGCTGCTCCCCGCACCCCTTCCTTTCAAGTCCACTCTAGCACTCTGGGTAGCTTTTCCTAAAAAGCAGGTTCTTTTAGTGCGCGTCGGTATTCTGGCATATTCTTTTTTTTCCCTTTCTCTTTTTTAATGGCATATTCTTGATGTCTCCCCTATTAGGCTTGCTACTTGAGAACAAGAACTGTTCCCTAAATCTCTGTTCTCACCAGTACAGACAGGTACTTCATGTTCATTCATATGCCAACACCAAGTCTTCCTGCCTTGCAAAATTTGGAGTCAGGTGATATACAAGGGGTCCCCCCTAAAAACAAACAAGCAAACAAACAACAGAATTTGTTTTCAAAGCTCTGTATTAATTTTTTTTTTTTTACAAAACAACCTTATCACCTTCAAAGGACTCTCCATTACATTTAATACATTTGTCAACTCTGCGATTCCATTCTTGGAAGCATTTTTCAAACTCGTCTGTTTGGATGGCTGTCCTTTGCAGAAACAAAAAGAAGTCGCAAGGAGTGAAGTCAGGTGAGTAAGGTGCATGGGGCAAGAGAAGCATGCTGGGTTCGGCCAAACCTAGTGCACTGAGATCACTGCATGAGCAGGTGCATTGTCGTGGTGGCAAAACCAGTCCCGTCTGCCACAAATCAGGTCTTTTCTGTTAGTTACACAATCTTTCCAGAACCTCTAAATAGAAAACTCGATTAACAGGATGACCTCGCGGAATAAACTCCAAATGCACTATCCTCCTCACATCAAAAAGAAAAAGAAAAAAAGTTTTTTTTTTGGGGGGGGGGATATCCCTTTGTGTATTGGCAAAAGGCCTTACCAAGAATAATAATAATTTCATTAATTTAGGTACTTTATCAGTAGCTAGAATCATAGGAGACATTAGTGGGTAACTCTAGAATGGGCAGGATACTGGCCGGAAAAAGGCAGGAACTGACCTGATCATCTAACACCTGTTGCCCTAAGGTCGGTCACACCCACAGCACACCCACACTGGAGATCTGAAGGTGTAGGTTACCTTGCTCGTGGCAGCCTATAAGCCTTCTAAACATCGACACCCAACAGAATTTGGAAAGGTTGACAAAATAGGAAAGATGGAAGACAGAAAAGTAAATGGAGCTGGAAAAAATGAGCTGGCTTTGGGAAAAAATTTGGAGTTTGGAGTGCAAAATTAAAATAAAATTCAAAATTTGCCAATAAAAAATGTGCACTTTGGAGTACAAAATTAAAACAAATGCCTAATCAAATAACTACTACTATCAAGTTCACTTTGTTCTTAAATTTGCTGTCAGGTCAACTCACAGCAACCCTGCGGACAACTGGAGGGAAGTCTGCCCAGTCCTTTGCCATCATCGTAGAACCATGTTTGTGCCCATTGTTCCTGCCACTGTGCGACCTATCTTGTTGACTCTTCCGGTGGCGTGAGGTCTCTAAAAACCAAACCAACCCAGGGACATGGGAGATCGGTTCATGATCTCATTACCAAGTCCAATCTTCAACAGATTCTTCTAAATCAGCAAGTGGTACAGTGAAATCCCAGGCCAGTTTTGAGTTATTTTCTGCTGTTGGAAACTGACCTGGGAAACCACATGGTGGGCCATTCTCGTTTCACAGCTTTCAGGAAACTGCCAGGCTGCTTTCCAGAAATAATTAAAGGCAAAGCGAGGCAGCATAGCATGTTGGCTAACTAACAGGCACCGACTTTGAACCTCAGAGCCACAGCTGTGAACAAGGGGCCAATTATCTTTATTGCTGCCTCCTGGGGGGGCGGGGCAGGTAATAGTGCTCAACTAATACGGTAGCCAGGAAAATTAAACGTAAAGTGCCTAGCACAGTGACAGGCCTGGAGGAAGTACTACTGTGATAGCTACTGTTAATATTAGTAGGTTCCACTTTCCAACCTGCAAGCCACCCGACCTCATTTCAGCCCAGGGCAGCGCCTTCCAGAGCACTGAAGGGCGTCAGGGGCGGCAGCCTGGAAATCCCGGATTCGGACTCCAGCCGGCCATTCTTTGTCTTTGCCCCAACATCCTCCCCCTACCCCGACACCAAAGGCCACTGAGTCTATTCCAAGGGCTTCCAGGGATGGAAATATTAGGGAAGCAAAAATAGTCTTAACCACAGACCTGGAAATCAGCCGTCCCAAAGTATACGACAGCGCCAGGCTCCTGCCGCAACCAGACTACCCTAACTAAGCAGCCCCGGCGGCGGGATCAACCACTGGGAGCACACCAGGCTGTCGCGCCCCTCTGCGGGCCAGACTCGTGGGCATCTGCTTCGGTAAGGATCACAGCCTGGGACCCCACACAAAGCAGTCTATCCCGACACACGGCAACCCTCCAGGCCAGGGTACAACTGCCATCGTGGGCTCCCGACACGAACTCTTTACAGTGGGAGAAAGGAAGCCTCGTCTTTCCCCAAGGAGTACACTAGTGGTTTCGAAACGCAGACCTCACGGTACGAAGTCCAACGCAAAACCGCTCCAGCCCACCACGCAAGTACCTGACCCAGTTGGCTCCGGAGCGGCCTCAAAGCGCCACGCAGGCTTTTAAACACGAGTGTCCCCGCCCCTCGGGCCTGGTTACGCCCCCTGCGTCATTTCCGGTCCTGCGCGCAAAAGCCGAGGAAGGGAGCTGAACGGAAGTGGTCCCACTCTCTTTTCGGCGGCAAGCAGGGCCCTTCTGGGGAGCACGTGACAGTTCCGGGTGTCGCTTCTTGCCCTACTCGTTGGTAACAGAGCCGCTCCCTTTCTCGCCACGCAGGTGCCCTGCCCCCTCCGGCTCGTCGCCGGGATTTGAGGTAGGCAGACGAGTGGGCGGGCACTGAGGCGGGGAGGGCGTCCTCGTGTCCCGCTCTCGCCTTCCGGGGGTCCTGGGACCTGAGCTCCCTGTAAGACGTGAGCACTTCACCGCTGGTGTCGCCTCTGCTTTGTGCAGCTGCTGTGCTTCGGTGACGTTGTGAAGGGAGCATGGACGGCACAGTCCTTTCATTCACTTGTGGGAGCGCTTGCTATGTTGTGAGGGCTCGCTGGCAGGCAGGGCTCTTGAAGCTGCGGGGGGTGGCGGCGTCGCACAGCCAAAATAGTCAAAAACAAAGCAAACCCTCCCTCCTGTCGCGTCGATGCCAACTCCGCGGCCGGATGGGACCGGTTGACAGAGACTACAGGAGGAGGAGGAGGCTCGCCTTTCAAACCGGTGTTTCAGTGTGAAATACACGGAGTTTTGCCTTGTAGGCTAACTGCTGACCGTGCAGTTAGCGGACCACTTCGCCAGCAGAGCACCTAAATTCATGCGTATGTAATCTAATACGTGTGATGGAAGACTTAATGGGAAGAGAGGAGGGTTACAGGCATTTTAAATGAGGTCTTCAGATTAATGAGACCTGATCATTGGGCAGACTTCCAGGTGAGGGAATTCGATTGCGTGAAAGCGTTCCAAAGGCCAAGTTCTGTCGGAGTCCGCAGGGGGCTCTTCGAGAGGAGAACCGGGGAAGTGGGAAATTGCTGACCGACTTGAGTACACAACCAAATTTGTATTCCGAGGGGAATGCTTGCTATTCGAAAGGGTTTTTTCTTCTTCTTGTAAATACACGGTAAAGAGGAAGTTAAGAATGATTCACATCCCAAGAAATAACTGCCTCTCCCCCATCCCCCGAATAGATTCACGCTTTAAAAAGAAGCTTTTTTCCGAATAGATCCACACGCTAAGAATTTAAACAGTACATCGTGAAGCCATCAGGAAGAATGGTAAGTTTCATGGAACTTTTAGGGGACTCAAATGCCTATCCGCTTTGGAACAACAGGCTGGAAAGCACACTGTGAAATCACTCAATAGGGGGAAATATGTAATTCTTCATCGTTTCCATGTTAAATACACAGAATTTAAAGATTACAATGGAGATGGAAGGGGGGAGTTGGAAAAGGTAAAGTGTAATGAGGATGATTATTTTCACTGGATCCTTTTGCCTGGGTCTAAGGTAGGCAACTTGAAGTAGAAGATAAGCCAAGAGAATAGTGCCTTGCACCCCCACTCCATCCTCGATTTTCCACTGCTACATGTTATTGTAAGAAAAGAAAGAAATCCTCAAAATAATCCCCTCCCCTCCTAGAATGAACAAAGGAATATGCAAGCTACCAAAACACGCTAATCTAGCCCCATAAAAGCAAACAAGAAGTAAGCAAGAGGTGGCATTATGGTCACCTCCGTGTAGGATCTAGAAACACCTGCTTTTATGTTTTTCATTTGCTCAAGAAATAGATTGTTAACCCTTTTTCTGAGCATGAAATTACATAAATAGTGGAAACTGTTTTGAAAGTCATTTTCCCAACATTTTTCGATGAATATTAATGACATTGGTGGTTCGCCAACCAAAACCAATCTCACTGCCATCAAGTTGATTCAGACTCCTAGCAGCCCAGTAGGACAGGGCAGAACTGCCTCTAGGTTTCCGAGATTGGATCTCTTTATGGGAGTAGCAGGTCTCGTCTTTCAGACTCACCAGGGCTCCTTGGTGGTTTGCCGTCTGAATTATTAACACCAACATGACAACTGTTTTTATTTTTTTTAATTTTTTGACTTTTTAATGGATGAAAAATTCAAATGTAAGATAATTATTTCCATCTCAATATTTGCTTCCAGTAGATACTTTTGACCTTATTTAGGTCTATCTTAAGTATTTTTTTCTACTGGTAGAATAACTTTTCGAGGAAAAGAACTGTTGTAGGAATAGGTTATCTCTGAAGCAGTACAATAGGCCCTGCTTATCTGTGGAATATGGCCCAGGACCCCCAGTGAAAGCCTGAAACCACAAGTAGTACTGGATCCTATATATATATGTTTGTCCTGTACATACTTCCCTATCATAAAGTTTACTTATACATTAGGCACAGTAACAGATTAACAGCGATAATGGGCTGGGTATACATGCAGCGTGGATATGCTGGACAAGGGAATGATTCACCTTCAAAATGGGATGGCATAGATTTCATCACACTAGTTTAACAGTTTTGGAGGACAGTTGGCTGCAGTATTAAAAAGGCCATGGGGGCCATATCTGACCTCTGATTTCCTAGGCCAATTGTCACAAGGTGGAGGTCAGACAGGCCTCCGTCCTTTTTACCCTATTCTGGCACCAACTGCCCCTCTTACTTCTGTGGTTTGGTTTGATAATTTATTGCAGTGACTACACAGAACTCACAGTGCTTACAATTAGGGGGTTATTAGGGAAGTTAAATTACAATTCAAATATACAATTTATCTGAGAAATGCTCAGGATGTTGTTCACTATCTGCCCTGCCCTCCAGGGGCCGTCTCTCTGGCCCTCAGCCTCTTAGCCTAACCTCTGCTCTGGTTAGGCAGTATTATAAAGCTCTGCTAATAAATGGCCCTCTGCTGGAAGCCTCAACCAGAAGGCCATCAGCTCCAGCTCCATGGGTCAGCAAACCCAGCTCCCCCATTTCAGTGCCCATAGCAGCTCATTCCATAAGCCAGTCTCCTACCCCAAATGACTCAGCTTTACTTGCTTTGTAGACTGAGAAACCACTGTTTTGTCTCCTGGTCCTGCTGTTGCTGCTTCCCTGCCACTCCTCTGCTGTCACACGGGAAAAGGCAGATGCTCAGGGTCCAAAGGATGTACTCGACTCTGGGATCTTTACTCTTCCTGGTTGTGAGCGTTCCCATTGCTGCTTCTGAGAGGGCTCATTTTGTAGCCAGCAAGATGGCAATCACAATGAACTCTGTTAACAATCCCAATCAGTATCTTCCCCCACCTTGCCCAGACCCATCAGGATAGTGGTCATTTTGGTGAGAGTAACAAAGCCTCCAGCTAGAAGAGCCTTGTTAAATAATTCGCTGCAGCAGGTGCAGGAAGTGAAAGATAAGGGAGGAGCACTGTATACTTCCTGTCTGCGTTTATTCGGGTTGTCATCTTGGAGATCTAGTTACCTGATGAAATCAAATCCTTTCCTCAAATTCTCCCTTTCAGTCGGTGACATTGCACACAGATGTAGGTGATGTTAAGATAGAAGTCTTTTGTGAAAGGACGCCCAGAGCCTGTGAGGTGAGTGCCATTATATTTACGTATTCAAATAATCACCCAAGACAAGAGGCCACTTTTCTCTCTAGAGTAGGAGCCCCGAATGTGTAAACAGTTAAGCACTTAACTGTAAGCTGAAAAACTGACTGTTGGATCCTAGCCAGAGATACTGGGAAAACAGATCTGCTTCCCAAAGGTCACAGCCTTGAAAACCCTGTGGAACCAACTTGAGGGCAGCCAGCAGCAATGACCAGAGAGTGGCTGGCCCTTCTCTCGATAAGATGGAGAATGATTAGCATTATTAGACAGAACATTTCTGCACATTATATCCCCTGTGTAAATGACAAAGAAGAGTCAGTTGTGTATGTGTATTTGTTTAATCGTTTTTAGGAAAGGCTCTCTTGCCAAGGTCTGGAGATAACGTGTTGAACAAGATACATCCTTTGCCTCCTTCTTAGAGCTTATATTCCAGCAAGGAAGATGGGGGTGGGGGACAAGTAATTTTAGAGGGCTGGCTGTAGTACCTGGAAGGAGATAAAGTGTTGGAGTAGAGAACAATGAGGAAGGTGAGGGCAGGCCTGGCCAAAGAAAGGTCATTAGTGAGACAGATCTATAAGTGATGACATTTCCTTGGAAAGAGATGTAAAAAGGCCATTCCAAGTGTAGAAATAGCAAGAACAAAGATCTTGTGGGGGTGGGGGGAAGCCTACCTCTTTTAGATAAACTGTTAGAAGGCTGATGGGGTTATCTTATCTTAGTAAGCAACAGAGAAGACTACATTATTATATATGACGTAGAGGTAGGCCAGGCCATATGGGCCTTGTTATGCCCTGTTGAGTTCAAGAGCACAAGGCAGGCAAAAGTCTTTTCAGCAGGGAAGTGACATTATCCAAAGTAGTGTCTAGAAATCATAGGGTAGCATTCTGCTATAGTGTTTTCAGTAAATATGATGGGCTCTTTTTCTTAAACACGTTACTGCTGCTGCGTTTCTGAATCGTTCTCAATTGTTTTCACTCTCCAGAATTTCTTGGCTCTTTGTGCCAGTAATTACTACAATGGCTGTTTATTTCATAGAAATATCAAGGGTTTCATGGTTCAAACAGGAGATCCAACAGGTAAGTTTTCCTACTAATAAATATCAAGAGGATTGGGCGTATAAAGAAGGAGTAGAAAAATAATAGAAAAGTGAAAAGCATGTAGTTTTTTATAATCAGGCCACCTTACCACAGCAAGAAAATTTGATGCAGAAACTATTAGCACCTATACCTAAAAACAAAACAAAACCTCAGTGCTATTGAGGTGTTGCACACTCATTGCGACCCTGCAGGACAGAGTAGAGCTGCTCCTGTGGGTATTCAAGAATGTAAATCTTCATGGGGGTTGAAAGTCAGCTGGTAGGTTTGAACTACTGACTTTGTGATTAGCAGCCCAGCACATAACCCATTACACCAGGAGGGCTTCTTAAATCTGAGAACAATGTGAAAAGGGTTTCTTAAACTCAACCCCCATCTTAAGGACCTTTTTCAACGCTCATTAAATGACTTTTTTTTTTTTGCTTACAGGTACTGGAAGAGGAGGTAGCAGTATCTGGGGCAGGAAGTTTGAGGATGAATACAGTGAATATCTTAAGGTATAAACCCCAAGCTTCACAATCTGTGTTCTGATGCCGTGGTTACACTGGGAAACTCTGATACATCTGTTGTTTGAAGGTGCATTAACATCGTTAGGAAGGAAATTTTCAAAATATTTGTGGGAAAATGGGATTGAAAAATAATGGGGGTTTTCCATGAACTTTTTGAAGCTCCCTCTTGTGTATGTATGTTGGTGTGTATCTATAT